ATATAAATATCAAGGACTTACATGTATTCTTTCTTTATTTCTTAACCTTTCAACTTGTTGTTTCACAAACAACTTAAACTACGTAAACAAGCATTTTCTTTTAAGTAGTCACAGAGCCCGACCTTGAACTCACAACCTTGTTTAACCGAGGAACCCAAGCATTTTATAATATAGAAAGTAATGGGATTTCATCACTGGAGATGCTCAAGTGAAGTCCACATTGTGTATCTCCTATGAAGAGGATTGATTCAGGTCTTAAGTGAGGACCATTCAAGTTGTTTCTAACGTTCCTTTCAGCCCTGAGGTTTTATTGTTCCTACCAGTGTCATTTATGCATCTGAAAATATGGCATGAGTAAAACAATGGAAATTTCATATTTCATGTAGTTGCATCAGACCCAATATATCAATGTACTGCTTAATATTAATCCACTCTAACGACATCCCTTTCTACCATTTATGGGCACCTTCTAAGATGGTAGACATTTCAAATGACTGAAAGCTTCCTTGGCTCCAATATTGTGTGATAGATAGATAGATAGATAGATAGATAGATAGATAGATAGATAGAGTTAGATAGATAGAAAGATAGAGAGAGAGAGAGAAATAGATGATAGATATAGATATAGATATGGATACAGATATACACTATATATTTCCGTATTTTATTTTATCTTATTTAAAGGTTTCAAAATTTTTATTTTGAAACAATTATAGATGTGTAAGAAATTGCAAAGAAATGTACAGAGTACTGTCATTATATATACAAAATATATGGGATTTTTAATTTCAAAAGTAGTGCATGTTCTCTAAAAAATTTCACATAAGTTAAAAGTACATAAAAAGTAAATAAAATATCTTCACCTTCATATAACGCTGTGCTCAGCACCACTGTTAACAGTTTGGTGTGTGTCCTTCCAGTCTTTTGTTAAATTGCATACATGGTGGCCAAATAGAAGCTTATCAAACAATCAAGAGCCCCCAATATAATAGTAGCTTCTGTTTATGGGTACTTATGATGTACCAGGATGTACGTGGGCATTTGTACACATGTTAATGACAATCCAATATAGAAAGTATTTATTAAGATTTGCAGGTGGGGAAACTGATACGGTTGCACAGCTACTTAAGTAACACTGGAGTTTAACCCAGGTCTATCTGACTCTGAAGGCCATAATCTTTTCAACTCACTATCCTGCAGAGAATGTTCCATGGAATGAGAGAGAACACTAACTAGGGGGAAATATCTGTATCTTTTGAATTTCCTAAGAATTCAGCCAAATCAGCATTAAAGAAAAAAACCCAAAAACCCCACAAAAGCTAATGTTAACATCAATCAGACCAATTTCTCGGAATTCTGCTGATAGAGTAGAATTATTGACTGTTCCACCAATGTCCCTCCCCATGGGTGGTCCCAGAATAAGAGTATGTGGCATTCATCAGGCTAGGGTTTCTCAGCATCAGTTCTTCCTCAAACGTGATATAGATCAGTATCTCTCTCTTTTTTAAATTTTTTTTATGTTTTATTTATTTCTGAGAGAGAAAGAGAGACAGCATGAACAGGGGAGGGTCAGAGAGAGAGAGATACAGAATCTGAAACAGGCTCCAGGCTCTGAGCAAGCTGTCAGCACAGAGCCCGATGCGGGGCTCAAACCCACGAACCATGAGATCATGACCTGAGCTGATGTCTGATGCTTAACCGACTGAGCCACCCATGCACCCCTGGATCAGCATTTCTTAACCAGTGTCTTTAGTCTTAGATTTGAGAAGAGGGTGGCTCTATAGGAGTCTCACAGGAAAGCACACCCTTCCCCTGGACCATCCCATGGACAATATAAAACCATTGTTAAAATTTGAGTTTCTTTTTATGAATGTGCTTGCCAGAACAGAAGGGGGCTGGCTTCCACCAATGTCCTCTCCATGACAGGCACATCAGGTCCTTGACCCTGCCATCATGAAGCCTGATACTCCCAAAGGCAGCTGATATCTCTGCCTACTAAAGATGAACAAGGAACCAATCCTTGAGGTGTAAATTCTGCTCATCAACAACCCAGACTAAAGTCTGTAGAGAAGGAAAAATACAAAATTCATCACTTTAGTCAGGTCTACGGAGAAAGAAGAAATTGAGAAGGGACATTTCAGCTGAACTTGGGAGGACATTTCTGTCCAGCGGTTTTGGTTCAAACATTTCCTGACCCAAGAAAAATAGCAGCCTGTGGGGACATAAATATGGCAGCATGGCCTCTTGGCCTGTGCTGATCTTAACATCCTCTTTTCCTGTAAGAGCAGTGGTTCCAATGGAGACCTATTGGTGGGGTTGGCTGTTTCCAAGCAGACAATAGCAATTCTGCTTCTTCCTTCTCCAGGCAATAAATCTTCTCAAAGGCAAATGAGTGAGAATGAAATTATTTAGAAATAACCCTGAATCTAAGAGATTTCTAACACAGGGACTATGGGGGAGGGAAATCATTCACAAACTTCAGGGCTCTATTACAGTTAATAAATTGCTTTCATTACAACCTCCCAAACATCCGTTAGTTGCAACATGATGATTGGAATGTCCAGCTAGTGAATAAATATGTTTCCAAATAGAAGCGTTATGTAAATTTAATTATATTAATTTAAGTAAATATTTTGTGTGTGCCTGTTATCACATTATAATGCATCATCTAAAAAATGGCTCCATCCTTTCTCCCTGAAAATTATTCCTGTATGTCCTGTTTGTCAAAAATAGAGTACTAACACATTGCATTCTATATCATTTACTATAAACTAAATTTTCAATCATCTTATTTCATTAAGGAATTCAGGCACCCCCTCAGGTTTTGGAGTAGATAATTGCTAAAGTAATTCTACTCTGGTTCTTCATATAAGTACTGTGGTAGAAATTGACATACATATGGAAAAATATTAAAAATGTCATTACATAAATGCCTTCAACATGATAATGAAAATATACAGAATATTTTATAATATGCTCTTAATAGGTAAATACATCTTGACGTGGGACACAGCTTTTCTCATTGTGATGGTAAGCAAACCACTTACCACTGACTCTCACAGAAAGTCTTGGATTTCTGGCTTTGTTAGCAGGGCTTGCTTCTCTCTACTTTAGTTCCTGGAATGGAGAGGATACCCTTTGGTAGAACAGACTGTCGACCGCTGCGCCTTATGAGGAGAACATGACGTTCCAGGAGATGCCTTGAGCATACTCATTGCCTAATGCAAGAGTCAAAAATTCTTTGATCTCTTAATGAATTCATTTTTCTAGAATGGACCTTTATAAATGCCTGTGGACCAATCTTTTGGGAATACTCATGTAATCTCTAAGCAGCTGTTCTGGGATTCCTCAGAGTGCAAACACAACTCAAGGGCAACAGGATGAATAGAAGGCACAGAAATGATGAACAATTAATTCTCTCTTGGATTCATTAAAGTCATGGCAATCATCTTTTCCCAGCATGCAATGAGGACTTCAGCTTCCTTTCTCTTTAGGGACATTTATGAGTAAAGTTCAGTAGTAGATTTCTTCTTTTAAGGAGTTGGGGGTGGCAGAAGCCTATGAGATTGGCTTCTTCTCATTATCATCAGGAAGAAGAGAGGTAAGTGTGGGTGTTGGATTTGGCTGCATTCTATGAAGCATGAGGAATTTTTCCCTCAGACCTGGACTCCATGATAGTGTATGTTATGCCAGTGGATGTGTATTAGGGGTGTAGTACTAAAAACTCACTCTATTGGCACTAAACCTCTCCTAGTTAGAGCTGCTCTCCTGGACATGGTGCTTCCTTCTTCCCCCACCAACATCCTTATACCTTCATGTCCCCAGATTTCTGGCCCTGCCATTGCTCATGACCTGACAATGACATTTATTGGTATGGAGTTTTAAAGGAGAAAATGGCACAGACATCGAACAGCTCTGTAGGTCACAGTTGGGAAGAAGGCTGTAAGTTTGAAATTTTTGTAGTATTTTACTTCACCAAAATTAGGATAAAAACATTAGACAGTGTCAAGAGTTAAGTGTCTAAAGCTCAAACACTCCCTTAGTGACATGAGTTTGTACATATGTGAAGGAGAAATACAGAAGTGATGCTTATTAAAGACCCTAGAATCATTGGCCATCAAGGACACACAAACCAAAATCAAACTGATATAGTACTTCACACATACTAGGATGGATATACCAAAAAGAACATATAATAACATGTTGGTGTGGAGGTAGAGAAATTGGAATCCTTATACACTGTAATGTAAAATGGTGCCACTATTTGAAAACAACTTGACAGTTCTTCAAAATGGTAAACATAGAGTTACCATATGAGCCACAATTACACTCTTAGATATTAACTCTATATAAATAAAAATATATGTTCACAACAGCATTATTCATAACAGCCAAAAAGTGGGAACCACCAAAATGTCTATCAAATAATAACTGGATAAGTAAAATGTGGCTTATCTATAAAATGGAAATCATTTAGCAAGAAGAAAGAATGAATTACCAATACATCCTACAATATGGATGAACCTTGGAAACATCCCAAGTGAAAGAAGCCAGACACACAAGGCATATATATATTTTATGATTTTATTTATATGAAACATCCAGAATATGGATGCCCATAGATACAGAAAGCAGATTAGTGGTTGTCTAGTGCTAGTTGTCCACTCCTGCTAAATTGGGAGAATATGGGGAGGTTTCTTAAAATATGTGGGCACTGGGGTGCGTGTGTGTGTATGTGTGTGTGTGTGATGGATTATGAAAATGTTCTCAGATATCAGTGGATTAGAGAACACAGGACATTTAAGATCACAGTGTGTGAAATGCTTGGCACAGGTATAGCTGTTTGTCCTGGTGGAATGGGGCATTATAATTACCAGAAGATCATATATAGAAAGAGAGCACCATTATCATTACAATTAGAAGGTTCATGTGTTTATTGTGTAAAAAATCTTCCAAAATGAAAACTTGATCTAATTGCTGATCTCATTTGAGAACCCACATTACCTAGCTAGCTTCCTCAGAGCACACTTGACCTCCTTGTTTCTCAGACTGTATATGATGGGGTTCAACATGGGGGTGATGACACAGAAGAGCACAGAGACCAGGATATCCATGTCCAGGTTGTAGCCTATGTTGGGTCTGTCATAGTTGAAGTTGGCTGTTCCAAAGAAGACCACTACCACAGTGAGGTGGGATGCACAGGTAGAGAAGGCCTTGCTCCTGCCTTGAGCAGAGGGAATCCTAAGGATGGAAGAGATGATGAGGATGTAGGACACCCCAGTGAACAGGCAGGGGCTCAGGCCAATGGTGGCACTCGCCACATGGAGCACAGACTCATTGAGAGAGGTGTCTGAACAGGAGAGCTTCAGGAGCAGAGGAATGTCACAGAGAAAGTGGCTGATTTGGTTGGGCCCACAGAGAGTGAGTGTGGCTGCCAGCACCGTGTGTGTCACAGAATTCACCAGCCCACACAGCCAGGACCCAGTCACCAAAAAAACACAGACCTTCACATGCATGAGGACTGGATATTGAAGAGGGTGGCAAATGGCTACATAGCGATCATAAGCCATGGTGGCCAATAAGACACCCTCAGTGCCAGCACATGTCACGAGGAAAAAAATCTGGGAAAGGCAGCCCTCATACGAGATGGTCTTCTTCTCCCGGAAGAAGTTCACCAGCATGACCGGGATGGTGGTGGATGTATAGCAGATGTCCAAGAAACTCAGGTTACTGAGGAAATAATACATTGGAGTGTGGAGAGCAGGACTGATTCTAGTGGCTGTTATTATGAGCATGTTCCCCAGGAGTGTTGTCAGGTAAATGAGCAAGAAAAGCAGGAAGAACAAGCCCTGTAGTTTGGGGTGGTTGGAAAATCCCAAGAAGATGAATTCAGTGACATCTGTCTGATTGTTCATTTCAAGTGGTGTCATAGCTACAAAACATTGAGAAAAAAAAGAAGCCATAATGAAAATGCACAGAAGTCACCCCCAAATGGGTCTATAAACTTACGTAGCCATGTCAAATGATGTGAGATATAGGACGATCTGAACTGTGGAGGGAGATGTGCAGGAGTGTCCTCAGAGAGATCACAACTTTTCATTCCACAAATCCAGCTGTCTCAGGCCCAGGGACCTCCCATGAATTTGCATGACTAGTAGTAGATGACAATAAATGTAGACTTGGTTAAACCCAACAAAGAACCACTAACCTCTGAATTAGTGTGACCTCGTTTCTCGTTGTCTTAGTGATATCCACCTCCAACTTTGCCCTTTTTGGTAAGAATCTTATTTTTTTCTTTCATTTTTTTTCTAAGAAATAAAGTTTTACTGCAAAAAATATTTTTAATGTAGAAAGATACAAACAAGAATTTAATCGCCTGTGGAATCAGAGCCAGTGCTACGTTTCAGTGTTCACAAATGTAGTGGGTTGGTTTTTTTTTTTTTTTTTTTTTGCAGTTATGTAAATCTTGACCTCTATTTATAGCTTTAAAATATTAGGAGCACTTGTTGTGATGAGCACTGGATGATGTATGGAAATGTTGAAACTATACAACTTGAAACTATGAAAATACTGTATGTTAATTATACTGGAATTAAAATAAAATTTTAGGAGCAAAATTTCCTAAATTAGAAAGGAAGAAGTAAATATTCACAGATGACAGGATCCTACATATAGAAAATATCAGAGTTCACAAGAACATTATTATAGCTCATAAACAAATTCAGTAAAGTCACTCACTCACACACACACACTCACACACACACGTTATGTTTCTATGTACTAACAATGAATAATCCAAAAAGGAAGTTAAACCAATTCCACTTACAATAATATCTAAAAGAATCAAGTGCTTACAATAAATCTTACTGAGGAAGTGAACGGCCTGTACACTGAAAACTATGAAACATTGCTAAAAGAAATTAAAGAAGGTATGTCTAAGTGAAAAGGTACCTATGTTCATGGATAAAAAGACTTAACATTGTTAAGATGTTGATACTACCCAAAGTAATGTACAGGTTCAGTGCAGTCTCCATCAAAATTTATATCATTTTCTCACAAAAAAGAAAAAATCAATTTTCAAATTCATATTTATTGAAAGGGGCCCTGAAAAACCAAAACAATTTTGAAAAAGAAGAATAAAGTTGGAGGACTCACACTTCCCAACTTCAAAACTTATTACAATGCCACAGTAATTGAAACAGTATGGTACTGGCACATGGGCAAATATATAAACCAATGAAATGGAATGGAGAGGCCAGAAAGAAATTCTCACATATATAGTTAATAATTTTCGACAAAGGTGTCAAGACCATTCAATGAGGAAAATAACTCCAGAAAGCTGGATATCCACATGCAAAAGAATGAAGTGCACAAAATTAACTCAGAATGGATCAAAGATCTAAACTTAAGAGCTAAAACTATAAAATCTTTAGGAGAAAATTTGGGGAAAATCCTTATGCCATTGGATTTGGTGACTGTCTTATGGATATGACACCAAAAGTATAGGCAATAACAAAAAAATACATAAAGTGTACTTCATCAAATCAAGAAAGTGTCATCAAAGTACACTAACAAGGAAGTAAAAAAGACAACCTCTAAAATAAAATATTTGCAAATCATATACCTGATAAGGACTAACATCAAAAATATACAAAGAACTCCTATAATCTAGCCATAATCAAAAGAAGAACTCAATTCAAAAATGAGCAAAGGAAAAAAAAAAATGAGCAAAGGACTTGAATAGACATTTCTCCAAAGACAAAATACAAATGGCCAATAAGAACATGAAAAAATGTTTCATATTGTTAGTTTTAGGGAAATGCAAATCAAAAGCATAAGGTCACCTATCAGGATGGCTATAATGAAGAAAATGGAAAATAACATATGTTAGTGAGGGTATGAAGAAATTGGAACCCTTGCGCATTGCTGATGGGAATGTAAAATGGTGCATCTACTGTGGGAAATAGTTTGCCCATTCCTCAAAAAAGTTAAACACAGAATTACCATATGACTCAACAATTCTACTCCTCAGTATATGTATCTAAAAGAATTGAAAGCAGGGACTTGAACAGATATTTGTATACCAGTGTTCATAGCATCATCATTCACCATAGCCAAAAACAACCTAAGTGCCCATCAACCAATGACAGGATAAACAAAAATGTAGCATATGTGTACAATGGTCTATTATTCAGTGATAAAAAGAAACAAAATCTTGATATAAGCTAAAACATGAATGGATCCTGAAAACACTATGCTAACATTATGCTAAGCCAGACACAGGACAAATACTGTATGATTTCATGTTCATCATGTGCCTAGAACAGGCAAATTCATAGACACAGAAGGTAAAGATTACCAGAGGCTCCTGAAAGGAGGGTAGAATTGGGGGAGGGGGGAGGAGTTATTGTTTAAAGAGTTCAGAGTTTATGCTGAAGACAATGAAAAAGTTTGAGGTATAGATAGAAGTGATGGCAATAAACACACTATGAATATATTTAGTCTCACTGAATTGTACACTTCCAAATGGTTAAAATGATGAATATTGTGTGTATTTTCCCACAATCTTAAAAAGAGTAAAAAATATTGAGAGCCAAATTTCCCAGGTACGCATTGTATTTCATCAAACAAAATAAATTTAATATCTCTCTTTTGACTAAACATTCAGAGACTTCCATATCTTTACTATTATAAATACTGGACTGGACTTTCCCATTAAAAAAATATGTGAGTATATTGGATTACTCTTCAGAGTAAATTTTTAAGCCCCTGTGTTTTTAAATGTACTGATTTGTAGTCAGTTGGATTATTATCTTTTCAGGGCTTAAAAGATGTGAACATGTTTAGGTAATCATATGTACTTGGGTATTTTACTTTATTAAAGGTATCTTATTACCTTACTGAAGTAAACTTTATTAAACCAAGATTAATCCTCAAACATTGCATGCTTCCTGAAAAAAATAATTGGTACAATTACTAGCTTTCTGTTAAGTATCCATTCTGATAGGTTCACAGCCATTGAACTATGATTTCTGTGCCTTTTTCATTCTTGGAGGTGAGCTATCTTGAGCCAGATAGATGTGGATTCAAATTCTACTTCTTTTTACCAGATGTAGATGGTGGCTAAATCAGCTGACCCCTCGGTTTCCCAGTTTGCTGACTGCGTTCTCATGTTAATAGTGTTTTTGGAAAAAGTAGTATGAGATAATATAACTAATGTGCCTTGTATGTAATAGGGATTCAATCAACTGTAGTCATCACCGATATTATTTTTAATACATACCAAAAAAATTTCAAGATAAAATATTTTCTTTGACTCTGCCTTCCAAATTTTACAAATACGATCACTTTTCACTACAGTCGCTACTGATAACCCCGTCCAAGCTACCATTTTCTCTTGCCTCAGCCACAGCAGCAGACTCCCACTTTGTTCCCATCCCCATTCCCAGTTAATCTGTCTCCACGCAGTGACAGCTAGAGTGTGTTTTTACAACATGAGCTAAATTATGCCATTCATAAACTCAAAACACTCCAAAGCTTTTCCATCTCACTTAGAATGAAATCTAAAGATCATAAAGCATATGGGATCTGACCTCTGACTGCCTTTCTGACATTACTTTCACACGGTTCCTCCCTTTTGCTCACTTAGCTTGAGCTACACAGGGCTGCTCTCTGTTTCTCACCTCAGCAAACACCTTCCCATCTCAAGGGCTTCTCCTGGCTACTTCCTCTGCCAGACACATTTTCCCCCCAGGTAGTTGCATGTCCCATTTCCTATTTTCATTGAGGTTTTTCTTGAACTGTTACCTCGGCAGGGATACTTTCTCAGACTATTCTATTTAAAATAACAGTCCCATTGCTTTTCACCCCCTTATCCTGCTTTACTTCTCCTTGTGGCACTAATGCTACACTTGGCATGAAATTATTGATCTATTTCCTTCTGGTTGTAGTATAAGCTCTATGAGACAGAGGTTCAGTTTTGGTCATTCTCTACCCCTAATAACTAAGACAGAGAACCTGGCATACAGCTTGTGCTCAATAAATATTTGCTGAATGAATAAATAAATCTATATTTTTAGGTGGTTGTGGAATTCATATTTCCTGAGTGAAATTCTAGTCTAATTCTTGTCCATTTTGCCTAATTATACTTAATCATTCTTCCATATATCTCTGTCTTCACCTGTGAATATCAACCCATCGTGCCTATTGATCTACTTTATAATCTTTAGAGTAGAAAACTTTACACATTGGGAATTTTATTTTTTAATGTTTATATTTGAGAGAGAGAGAGAGAGCATATGCTCAGTGGTGGAGGAGCAGAGAGACAGAGAGAATCTGAAGCAGGTTCTAGGCTCTGAGCTGTTAGCTGTGAGCTGTCAGTTGTCAGCAGAGAGCTTGACATGGGGCTCAAACTCACAAGCAGTGAGATCATGACCTGAGCCAAGTCGGACGCTTAACTGACTGAGACACCCAGGCGCACCTACACATTGGGGATTTTAACATCTTACCCTATACTGGCTTTCTATATAATAAATAATCCTCATTAGTAACAAAAATAAAGATAAAACCTAGCTTATTTTTATTTCTTTCATATGTTATCAGTTATAGCAAAAGCTAGCCTATTAGAACCGAACTGATATATATGACTTGATTGGCTTTTAAATGTGTCCCCAAATTTGTCTTTCCAAACTATTGAAAGGGCAGAAGGATTTATCAAATTATTCAGTCAGCAATCTTGCTCTGTAACTTGACGGGCAGCCTCCCTACAATCCTGTTCAATCCACATTAAACTGGAAATCATACCCTTGGATGCTATCTTTTTGAAAGCAGTGACCCCTCTAAGCCCTAAAATATATCTAGCTCCTCTCTATCTTAAAATTCTTCATTGGCCTACATTCTCTATCAATTTAAGTTCAGATTATTTCACATG